TTGTGAGAGGAACAACTATGCAGACACCAAGTTCGCTGCAGAAGGACCAGGGGAGGTGCACCAGCACAGAGATTCCCCTGCAGCCTGCCTGTCCCCTGCAGCCCATGGAGGTGCATGAAGTAGCAGATGCCCACCTGCACCCTGTGGAGGACCCCACATCAGAGCCAGGTGGCTGCCCAAAGGAGGCTGTGATGCCCACCGGAGTAGGTTTGCTGGCAGGACTGGTGGTCCTGTGGAGGACCTATGCTAGAGGAGTGTGTTCCTGAAGAACAGGGACCCTGCAGAAGGGATCCACACTTAAGCAGCTGCTGAAGAACAACAGCCCCTGGGATGGATTCACAGTGGAGAAGTTAGTGGAAGACTGTCTCTCATGGGAGGGACTCCACTCTGGAGCAGGGGAAGAGTATGATGAATTCTTCCTCTGAGAAGGGAGTAGCAGAGACAACATATGATGAACTGACCACCACTCGCATTCCCCTGTGCTGCTAAGGATGATGATGAGGGATAGAAATCAGGAGTAAATTTAAGCCTGGGAAGAAGAGAGGGAAGGGGGAAAGGTGTTTTAAGATTTGGTGGGGTTTTTTTTCTCTTCTGTGATTTGCTTGGTAATAAACTGATTTCCCCAAGTTGAGTCTGTTTTGCCCATAATGGTAATTACTGAGTGATCTCCCTGTCCTTGTTTTGACCCAAAGCCTTTCATTATATTTTCTTTACCCTTTCCAGTTGAGGAGGGAGTGATAGAGCATCTCTGGTGGGCTCCTGGCCTCCAGTCATCGTCAACCCACTACGCAGGGTAACCTGAATTCATAATTGTGAAAAGTTGGAGAAGGCAATTTGCACTGTTTGAAATACCTCACGAATTGAGTGTCTTCACTAAAACAGTCCTTTTCAGGGGGCTGGATACTTCAGTAGCATGTGTTGGCTTCTGTCTGGCTTCCAGTAATTGCTGGAAAGCTAATGAATTGTGAAAGCTCATTATCTATCCCATTAGTAAATGAAGATTACGTGCTTAAAAACACAAGTAGCAACATTTGCTCAATTTCCATATCTAGGAGATGGAAACAACACTTGTACATCTTTGCGTTTCTGAATGATATTAAGAATGTTTATTTTCCGCTTTTCATTGTTAAAAGTATCTATTTTTTGTGCACAGTATATAGTTTATAACTGAATGTGTTTTAAAACTATTTTCTCTTAGAAATGCCTGTCTTTAGTTTTCTGTCCTTGAAAAATTTTGCAGAACTAGTTGTTATTGCGCAATTAGGAAGTTTCCTGTCTAGTTTTGTTTCACAGAAATCCTAATGGTAACAAAGGAATGGGTGTGGTTGTGAAGAGAGGAATATTATGATCTTCTTTTAACACTCAAGTTTTCATCCCTGCATAATTGATATCACTTCAAACTATGAAATATGTCCATCTCTTCTTTGAAAGACTGTTATTTGACATGGGACTATACTTCGAAATGCTACAGAAAGTAAGTAAAATAAACTTTCTAGTCAAGTATTGGTAACAGATGCCTAGCAAATACCTAGTCCAGTAGATGAAATCTAGTGACTTAACCTCCTGCCAATGCAATTTCACTTGTGTGGCAATCTAAACTTCATTTTTCTCTGATACTACAGCACTGGATTCTCAGAATGCTCCTAGGGGGGAACAGATAGGGCGGGAAATACAGATCTGAGTTGACTTGCAGCAGTTTTGAGCTGCAAGAGAAGAAGTACTTCTCATATAGCATATTTCTACCAGAAATGAGGAAAAAAATTAGAGACAGCCTGCTGTAACTATTCTGAGCATGCAAGCACATATCCCGTAGGTACACTTAAATGATGATAATTCGTACATTTAAGATAGTCTAATCCTTGATGAAAGATGAAAAGACTCTTGACACAGAGGTAGCTGTATTATGAGCTGCAGAGCATGCTTATTGTGCTGCAGCTTGCAGAACTTCCCTCATGGTGAAACAGTTCGCTGTTTGCACAATGCAGTGACTTGCAGTAGCTAATTCACCTTTGTTGCACTTAAACCAGCAAAGCACTACCTAAAGGTTGATTGAATAGATGGATGAAAAATGTATCTTACTGTGATGGAAAATTGGAGAGCAAGTGATATAGGTCTGAAAATACAGACTACATACAATGCTAAAAGGCACAGAACAGTGTTTTACTAAGTGGCTTAGTTACAGTCATTTATTGCTGTGAGCTACAACATGTGAGGCTATCAGCCAGATATTTTTCTAGAAACAGAAATAGTCTTCCCTCTGGTCTGGAACAAATTTGGTTAATCCAGAACTACCTCAGCACCATTCAGTAATTTGCATGATGTTTTCTTCCTTTTGCTTCGCAAAGTTTTTGACAGCTGTCGTAACTTCAAGGTAACAAAGGAGCCCAGCAATGAGTAATTAGAAGGTTTCTAAATGTACTAGTGATTACATAAGAGAAATGTTGACTTCCTTCCTCAAATATTTCCAAAAGCAGTAAATTTTTTTTATAGCAATGCTAGCTGCATGATTTTATAGCAATACTAGCTCATCTATCTCTTCTTACATGTCTTTCTTGAATAGACAAAAGAAACCTGATGTTAAATGAGAGAAGCAGCATGTCTGAGCACAGATATTTACAGCTGAAAAAACTCACCCCAGACCCACACCAACCCCCCCACTCCAGCTAGCACAGCACGACATTGCCAAGTGCATACGTGATGACACACCACTCCTGTGCTTGTCAGCATTGAAGAATGCAAAGGGAGACTCTTCTAACTGAGTGGCTTTATTCTGTAGATGTTTCATCCATGGTAAATCTCTAGAAAAAAAGCTAATATTTCAAGTGGGATTTAGGTATCAGGTGGAAAAAGCTAAAACTTAAAACACGCCTGGGGCTTTAAACTATTCACTGCTGGATTTGCTCATCATAATCTGTGGTCTCTTAGGATGAAGCTGCATAGATTTTTGACTATACGGGGCCTTGCATTATGGTATCATACAGCTGTGTTCTTAACGCACTTCCCTCATTATGTCTTGTAAAGTGAAGTAGCTGCGTAAACATTATCTGCTGTAAGATACTTCTTAGAGGAAATGAGTAGTTTTTCCATAAAGTAACACCTGGAACAAGGGTTCTTAAGTAAAACTGGTTCCCTCTTTAATGATTGTTCGTATCCATTCTTTGAATAAGGAGCTGATGTTCCCTAAAACACTCTTATAGTAGGTATTATTATGTAAGAATTGAAATAGGACAGCAACAGGGTCAGGGAACTAGATACCTCTTCTGAGTGTTTTATAAAATAAAAGAACCACTGAGCACTAAATTATAGGTGCTACATTGAGGAAAGAGATTGGCACGGAAGTCCCTTCTTAATTGCAGATGGCATAAGGTGTTGAACACATTGAATGATTACACCAGCAACTTTAAGGACTCTGCTGTCCAAATGCCTGTCGTGTCTCAGGCAGGGAGGCTTAACTGTAGAACAGTTGTCAATGTAAGACAGTCTCATTAGGAAGAGACACATCCATGCTTATCTTGCCAAGAACTGTACTTAGTATAGCTCTTGCTTTGCTGTTTTGAGTGTGCAGCACGTATTAACTGAATTGCTACTGAAGCGTTGATGTACTGAAATCCTCTACATCCTCAAAGAAGTTGAAGTATCCAACCTTAATGATTCTATGATTCTACAGCTCTTACCAATGACTGATGGAACCAAGTACCAGAGCAATGGCTTTCAGCTTAGCACCACTTGGTAAAATGACAACAGCAGCAGTTACACCAAATAAACTTGAACAGAACATTTTCCTTTTCACTGTAAGTTACGTAATTGCATATATTTTTAGGTCTTTCTAGATGCTTTTGGTAACAAGGCAGCCACAGTAGGCTGATGAATAAAAGTTTCAGCATTGCCCCGTACACAAGGAATCGTGCAACAATATTGTATCCTCCAGCAATATAAATATGAACCTTATTTTTATCTAATACGGCTCAAGCAGAAGTGGACTGTAGTGCAATTCTTCTTATGGGAAAAGAAAGCCTGTACAGGAAAATATGAACAAAGGATGCTCAAACCATAATTTGTTTACTGGAAGCACTTAATAAAACACTCAGCCACAACTATTTGTGCTTCATAAAAAACTTATACACATTGTAAACTATAAAAGCTCACCTGTGAACCTTCGTTGCTGTAGCATGGTGCTTACTTCAAGATGTGCAATGTTTTAGGCTTGCTTTGGTGGTAGATCTTCCATGTGCTGTCATCAAAAAATGTTTCAAGAAGAAATAATCCCCTTAAGGGATTATAAACAGCCAATTTCCTGACAGAAGCAACTGGCAACTTTGAAATGCTCATTCCCTTCCTGTGTGAAAGAACAAGCCCTGACAGAGAAGGACATATATCGTGTTAAAAGCTATAGCAGCACAAAAATCAAAACTGGCCCCATGGCAGGTTTATCAGCTCAATATCCATGTCCTCTAGTTCAAGTTTATTCAATGTGGCTGTAACAGCCTGTATCAGACTACTAGAGGAGGAGTACTCTGATCATCTTCATCAGTCTTAGTTTAAATCAGTGAAGCAGATGCTTCAGTCTTCTTATTAGGAATACACAGTGTCAACATAACAATCAGGCAAACTTCTTTGTAACTCTAAACTGTTTCGTGTATTACAATGAAAACAAGAAAAAAATCAAAGATTCAGAAATTAATATGAGGTAAGTTAATATTGAAAGGAGCTAAGCTTATGGTCTCAGACTCAAAAGCACTCTGTATCTAAAGTATATTGTCATTTCCCAGACGTAACTATTAGATCTTTAATTCCAAACAACCAACATTCCCTTCTGCCCCCTAAAAAATCTACCATTTTCTGTAATTCAGACTGGTGTTCTAGAAAGAGAGTCTTCACAGTGCTAAGCAGTCAAATCTCAAGTGTTAAGGATGAAATAACGTTAAACAGTGACAAATGCTACATAATAGGAAGCACCCACTACTTTATGTTCTATCGAAGTGGACGCACACCTGTCATTATTAGCTACGCTTCAAAAGATGCTGATGAAATAACCATGATCCTGAATCCTATGAGAAAGTTAATCTTTGAAGAACTCTTGAAATTCTTTTCAGAAGTTATTTATGAATCCAGTATCAGTAGTAATACCACCAGACTGTACTTTTATTCAGCAGCATAAATGCTTAGTATTCTGAGGAGGTACTGGGAGAGGACTTCACCAGAAGCTTCTTTAAAAAAAACAGACAAAAATCCCCAAAGGACAAAAACCTTGCTGTAAGCTTCCAATTCTCTGAGTTTCTTGATTTCAAAAAAGTTGCCTTCTACTGCAAGCAGTGAGATTTGGGAAACACTGAGGATACGTTGAGGAAGCATGATGAGTTCTAGACAGCTTTCTTCTAATCACAAGACTTTAAGGTGTGGACAGAGAGAGATCTGCACTGGGATCTGGGAAATCTGCTGGAAATAAAAAAAAACAAGGAGAAATGGGATTAAAATGTTAGTAATCCATGATGACTTAAAGTGGAACAATTACAATGTTTAAACATAAACTACATTAACACTAACTACTTAACAATGATGTGTAAGCAACAATAACAGTGATCAAAAATCCAAGTAACATTTTCATCTTCCATGATGACAGGCAAACTACATATCTGTTTATCAGATCCATATTCAACAACCATTCAAATAACTTTCTGTATGACTAGACTCAGGATTTGTTAGCTAGGTCAAATGAAGCAGTTGGATGTAATTCCTCACATAAATTCTAGTTATGAAGTCTCATTTCTGTTGTGTCCTGGAGATGTCTTTTTGCTGTCTCAGCTTATGTTCTGTGGATGTACTACGTCCAAGATAAACCATGTCCTAAATCTACATGCCCATAACATCTCAGTCACCAGACCTGATTCTGATTCAGATGGAATTCGATAGCCTGCAATTCTCCCACAGTGTCAGGCACGTTTTGGGTCTGGTTTTTAGAAACATCTATCCCACCCAAGTGACGAAGACCGTAGAATTCATAGAGTTTTGTAGGCACAGTCTGAAGCTGATTTCCCAAAAGGCTCAGGGTTTTGAGAGCTGAAAGTTGTCCAAATGCAGCTGGTAGCTGCCTCAGGTGATTGGAATTCAAGTATAGTGTTTCCAGTTTTTTCATTTCACATAGTTTCCTTCAGGTAAAGCAGCTACAAATAAATGATAGAACAAAGAGATGGCTTAAGCTATATTACAAAAATTTCCTTCCCATTTTCCAGTGACGGCAAAGGTCCCTGCACAGACATTAAGCCCAATGACAGCATATGCTTTTTAACGATCTTCAATAAATACCTTACAAATAATCTGCAGAGAAGGTGAACCTTCAAGTCACAGGCTGAAAACACTGCTCTGAGAAGATTTTGGCCTAACAATTATACTCATCACAAACCATTTCGCCAGCATATTCTATGACTTCTGAACTACCACACAATTCACGGCCTCGAGCTTGCTGCAGCCCTTTAAATGTCAAAAGTACATTCTCAGATAATTCATGCTGTATCATACTAGCATTTAAAAGCCCCACCAAGTAAGCGCTGCTGGTGTTCATTCATTCCTCATTCCAACTACTCACATATATAACCTGTAACACTTCTGAGTCAATGTGTTTTTCAAAAAGACATAACACAAAATTAATGCATTAAAAAGTTAGTTTCTTCATCCTATTTTTTCCATAAAGTTGGACATTTGACCAACAAAAACATAACAAGCACTGAATGGTGAGCAACATTTTCTGCCGATTATCTTCATTACCTCTTCTCTGTGCAAGTACTACACCATCTGATACTGTAAAACTTCCATCTCAGTCAAATCAGAGCACAGAAACGTGATGATTTTAAGTACTTACATACCACTGTAAAAGTGATAATAAAACTAAGCTGGCAACTAGTTGTGAAGATTTTATGGGTTTGGTTGGCTCTTTCCTATATATGCGTTCCAAAGATCTCAGTTTAGTTGGCTAAACTGCCTATTTACATCCTGTGAGAGTTAAATCATTATATTTGGGTTTTGATCAGAGAAGTTGGGTTATTATTTTTAAAAAACCTGTGGAGATATTAATTATCAGTCATACTCAGTTTATTGTGTAGAACAAGGCTCTTCAAAAAGGAAGACTTTCCAGTGAGTGGTGGCAAGAACTCTATTTTGTTGTTTGTCTATTGTCCTTATGTTGCTTGTTAGCTTCTACAGATCTTCAGGAAACTATGAGGGAGAAAAAACAGATACACCATTTAAATAGTTGGCAAAACTTTCAATGTTCCGGTTGCACAGCTTAAAATTTGAACTGAAATTCATATCAGTATTACATACTGTGATAAGTATCGTAATGTCTAATCACTGCAGTGTGCAAGTAAGTTGGAAATTTTGCTTAATACATATTTTTAAAACTCTTCTCATCTAAGCAAGGAAAAAAGGATATAAAGGAGGCAGTCTAACATCTAGGAAGAGTAGTTTTTAACCCAAAGAATTTCAATTAAAAAGGGAGAAGAAATCTTGAAATGATTTTTTTTTGTGTTCCATTTCTCTGTTTCTCTTAAACATGCCTCTCATTAAAAAACATTCTACAGTTACTTAACAACTATATATTGTAGCAGAGTGAGACTGGGGATTGTTTCTCTTGCTCTCCTTTTTAAATAATTATGTAAAGCATTTTCCTTATTCTTATTTATATTCTGTACCACTTTAATCTACACTTGGTACTGAGCTGAAAATAATGAAAAAACAGACAATCACGATTAGTGAGTCCTGGTCAATAGGCCAGTAGTTTTGATTCTACTTTGGTCTAGCAGAAGAAAATGGAAGAAAAAAAGTAGGATAGTGGGAGAAGATACCTTATATTACAGTAATTTTCCAAGACTCTTCTAGAGTTATTTTGTCTATCCTGTGGATTGTTACTTGACTTATGCTTCCAGGACTTTTGTGTTTTTCTGCAGTTGAGTCAAGTCAGGACAATTTCCTATATAATAAACTTCAAGATATTTGCAGTCCAGTGAACCTCTTGCACATGCTATTCATATGACTGCAATTAAATTCAACAGAAGTATCTAAATGCAACAAGTTGTAGAGTATCTTTCTAGGTAACAACATGGTTATAAGATTTATGAGTTTTACCTTCATTATAGCTGTCTGAATATCGAAACGATGCAATGAGTGTAGTTAAAACTAGCTTGAATAAAAAGTATACTTTCCACATTTCGCCTCTTTCAGGGCCTAGTAGCATTAAGGATTCTCCATGGAGACCAGCTGTGTTTTTAGTAGCATCCTACCAGCACCGACTGGCTGTCAAGACTACAATTATATGTGTATTTTTTTGAGAAACGTTTATTTCGTTTAGAGCGTGGGTTTACTCCCCAGGACAAACTCCGGTGGGTTACAGCTGATGGATCAGCATAAAGTTTGCAGCACAGCAGTGAGGAAGGAAGCCCAAAGCTGCAACCAGCCAGGACGAGGAGCCCAAGAGAAGGAGTGTCGGGATGCTCAGCAAGGGGTGAAGCGGGCAGTGACCCACTGTGGGCCCTGGCTCTACCGCCTTGACCCCAGGGGTTATGGACCTGCCACCATGGGGAGATCTGGAGGGGGAAGACGGGCCCAGGATGGCCCTACCCACCTGGGGACCCCCCAACACCCTCCGCCACCTTCCAAGAACCAACCCTCCTAACGGTTTTACCGGCTCCCCCTGAACCAGATGTGTGCCAATCTCACCCTCCCTCCTGCCCCCAAGTGCTTCTTGCCTCCCAGAAGATGGCGGCCGCATCACTGGCACCAGCAGGCTGCTGTCAAAGACTTGGTTGTCCAAAACTCATGTAAGTCAATTCTTTGATTAAGGTAAGGCAGGGAGAGGGGGTGGGGGAAGTGGCTGACGTTACCTTGAACTGCACCCAAAATAAAAAAAAAATGTGGTGTGTAGCTATTGGTGTGGCCAGGCTCTGCGAGCAGCTGGGTTGTGCAAAAAGCAGCAGGCTGCCTCACCAGGGAGTGATGTAACTGAGATCACCGCTGTACATTGCACAGATTAAATGCAAAAATATAGTAAGGAAATACAAACAAATAGCAGCTTGCAGAAACGTATATATTATTTACATTGCCACACATACAGACAACTGAGATGTCAGTTTTCAGTTACATGGATCAAATGCCATCCTATTGCTTTCTTAAGGCAACAAATTCACTATTTCTACAGAAATGCACAAAAGAAGATTGAGAATTGGCATAGCTGCTTCCAGTTGTCATCTGTATATTATCAACAGTAGCATGCTGAGAGGAAGTCCTTTCGTTTCATCTAGTAAAATCAGATACCCAGATTATTTCTTATGCTCCTGTTTGGTGTTTTGTGGGTTTTTTTTTTTGTTTATTGATGTGAGATTCATCAAGTTGACGTGTTTACCTATTGGAAAATTGTGCTGCTTTATTTTCGTGAGTGGCATCTCACATCACAGCTCTTCATCTGACTTATGCTAATAGCAGATGGTTGGCTGGTATATCCTCTGTTTACATGGTCTTCACTGCAAGTCCGTCTGATTTACCCATAGAAGAACTAAAAAAATTTCTTTTTTTTCTTGAGACCTTCAAGCTGGTAAAAGACTAGTTTTCCTCGCCTTTGCCATGTTGTTTCACTTTCTCCACTCACTTTGGGCTTTGGAAAGTGAAGAGTTTTTATTTCACCAACAGACAGGGCAAAGAGACTATGCTTTTACTGCTTCACGTTAAATGGAGATATTCATCATTAACATGACTTTTAAAGCCAGCTTAGTGATAATATGTTGAGCTGCTCCAAGTAAGTGTGAGTTTTACTACACTGGTCAGTGAGACATAAAAATAGCACCAGTCACAGATCGCATTTTCATGACTTAGTGAGGCTTTTCCCTGTCATCAGTTTGATTGAACGTTATGAAGAAATGATTTAGGATTGCAAATAGTCTTGCGATCTTGCTGATATAAGAGCTACATTCAACCTTCCACTCCCTAGACAAGATTAAATGGAAAAAACAGACTCACTTCAATGCTAAGCAGGTAGGTAAATTAAAACAAGAAGAGCAAAAGAGGCAGAAAAACATACACACGCTCACACACACAATAAGGTCAACGCTGTGTTAGCATTGCAGCCTTCCCACCAGAAACAGGGTACTTTTCTACCTTTGTCAAATACAGTTCATTACAGTTTGTTTTGCCTCTGCCCAAGCAAAGGCAAACTTTTTCCAGGTACATATGTCCAAGTGGATCACATTCTTGCGATGACAAGTAACACAGTGACCACTGAAAAAATAAAGTGCAAAATGTGAGTGATCACAGGACTCAGTCTTTCTACTGCCCTGGTTTTCTTGTTTTTCTCTTGGAAGTCTTCGAGTGAGTCTTCTCTTCCTTGTTTGTAGGCACGTTGGTGGGAAATTGCAGTCCAAATCCGTTAGGTCCATTTAGGAAGACACATTGGAAGTAGCGGACAGGAGCTAGGAAAACAAAGAAATGGTTAATGTTAATGGCTTCCAGACTGGCAACATGAGTCTATTCCGTGTTCTTTCAGAAAACATCTAATTTCATTCCCATTAGGTGAGTTATAACAGCACAAATCTATAGTGTGGTCACAAGCCACATTTAATGATCAACCAAGTTTTAGCTGAAAGGCTAGGTGAGATGTCTTTGTAGCACAAGATGAGAAGCTGTTGAAAATATCATGTTTAAACCCATTATTCCTCTAATATTGTAGTCCTACTTCTAGAATATTTGCATTTTAGGATAGATGAATGGAAGCACCCAAAGTACACACATATATTTTCTTATTTTGTGTTTCACAGCCACTTTCAGATACATAGAAGTGTTTCCAGAAGGCTTTGCATCTAATAGTGATAATTATTCTGAATAAAAGAAGAATAAATGACAGTACCTATTTCTTAGTCTTTCAGAGTCAGTGGTTTTCTCCCTTTTGATTTTTGAGCACTAGCCTGCATAGTTGTACTTTGATCCATTGTCTTTTAAAAGCTTTCAAGAACACATACTTTAGCACAGATGGAATTGACCCAATTGTTCCAAAACCTGAGTTGTTCACTCTGACATTAACGTTGACAAGGTTTAAAAGGTATTTATTAGTCAGTTACATGTTTGGGAAAATAAGGAATGTTGGCATATGAAACAAATCAAGTTTTCGTGCCGTGGATTCTGATGCCTTTTTCTTTCCTCTGCTGTTAATTTCTTATTAAAATAAATGTAAGTGTTCCCTGAGACAGTTCTAAACTGAGATGGACTCCAGGGCTCCCTGTGTTATGAACTGAAGTGCAGGGTTTATTTGTTGACTACAAAGTCACAGTAAACGGTGGAACACAGAGTGGTGTGTCCGAAATGCCGGTATATTATCCTCTGTGGTTTTCTTGCCTGGCTCACGCAAAGGTTGTCTTTGTTATCTGAAAAGAGCACTTGAAAATGGAGTTGGAAATCAAATCCTTCTGCAAATGACTTACTGCTTTTCCACGAAATCTAAGCATGGAAACAATTTTTTTCCCCCCAAATTTCTGATGTTCCTGTGAGATAAATCTGAGATTTCTTCAGAAAACAGAGACAAAGCAACTCCCATGGCAAGAGCTCATAGCCCCGGAATGATAGATCAGGGTTACCCTGAGAAGTCTGGCAATCCATGGATGAGTTGTGTGGTGTGGATGTGTTATGTCCTCTACCATTGACGGTTCTACGGATTCATTTAGTGCTTTCTAACCCAAATAGATACCAGTTTACTTAAGGCTAAAAAAAATTATATCCCTCTGTATTTTGCATACAGTCAAAATGCAAAAGAGTAGCTCTTTTTCTCTACAGATGTTCACAGAGTCCTGATACACATTAGCTTGTATACCTACGTACTTAGGAACATTTTAAACATGCTTATATATTATTATTAGAGCGTGCCTGACACGATTGCATTTTCCAAAGGTGTTACCTGATCATCATTCTAAAATCACTAGTAGTACTGGCTGCTGCAACCATTTCACTTGAAAATCTGACTATAAAAGCCACTAAACTGATAGAGTGAAAAGGAAAGGGAAGACTTTCAGATCTTTGCAACTTGGCCAACAGCCACAAACTACCTACGTGGACCATAATACTAGGTTTGAAAAACAGGCACAGGAAATAATTATTCTGAAAAAAATAAATCTCCAATTTATGTATATTTGGAATGTGTAGTGGTAAAGATCACCCTTGATTGTGTTATTTCTGAGATGTCTGTAGTGTTTGTGAAGTAAGCTCTGTTGTTTGGCTCGTATGTGCCTATTCGGAGTGCAGCATTTTGAAGTGACATTCAAATGTTTATACAGCCTATTAATTACCACCTGTCTTCAGAAAATACCAGGAGAATGTAGAATAAAGAAGAAACTCAGGAGAGAGACACACAATAGTAATGGCCTTCATTAAGCTCGCCTGCTACTTCCTTTCATAAGACTCTACGTTCAGTAACTTTGTTTAAATACATGTTGTTATTTAAGTACTGTGGTGAAACTTTCGGTGATGAAATTAGTTGCAGGCTGAACTTATTTTTAGGCAAAAAAACCCCAAAGAACAGTATTTACAAAACATAGCTAGAAAAAAATTATTTTCTTGGTATTAAAAATCCTTTCTTTAAAAGGTGTCAATGTCCTAAGGAGATGTGAGGGGCAGTGTTGAGGGCAGAAGACATCTGACTTTTGTGTCAAGGGTGGTGAGTCTGAGATGAGAAGCTGTGGTGGAGACTGACTGCTCAAGTGAAAAAAGTGATCTGCCATGGTAGAAGACCAACTCTAACCTGCCAAAGTGCCTGGGCCAGGTGATTCTTAGGGTGAGTGAAAACAAAAATAGATGATGTACTTACTGCTTGACCAAAGAGCTTTAGGAGCAAAATGGACATGGCTGCATGAAGAGATTGTGGCCAAGCAGCTGGAATGTGATAGGGGAACCTCATGGTGAGAAGACAGACAAGGTATGGAGATTGTGATGGAGAGAAACAAACACAGATTAAGAGTTACTTTGTGCACAAACTGAGAATTGGGAAGACTGAAGAATGGAAGTAAGATAGAATAATCACTGCAGATGAGATGGGAATGCGAACAAGAGGACTAGACGAGACATGATATGTACAAGAATTTTTAAGATAAGAGGAGGAAAACAGAATCACGCTTCTTCCAGAAGAAGTGTTTAAGGGCTATGAGGCTCAAACACCTGTGAATGTTGCAGCACACA